AAACTTATAGCAACAGTAAAAGTCAACCCCAACATGCATGTGCTAAGTGGATAACCAGGGAAGCCATGCCCATGACTAAAAATTTAAAATGTGGCTGCACTAATGGCACATGGTGTAATAGATAATATTGGAAATTATTTTGTAATAAAAATAATTTTGTTTTTAAAAATTTATTTTATAATAAATTATTCTTATTACAAAATAATTTCACTTTTTACTCAGAAGGAGTTCTATTGATTCATTGGGGGCAGGGCATCAATTAGAACTGATCTGCAATAATACCAAGTTTAGCCAGAAGAGGGTGCTTTCTAAAATAGAGAAAATGCCGTTGAAAATCTTCATTTTATGAAAAATTTCAAGTTGAAAAATCATGAATTTGCAGCTATCTCTGACTGTTAAAGCTTTGGATACTCTGGTTTATGGCATTTACAATGAGAAGTGGACATCTACTTTAATGTGGAAAGATGGTTTAAGTGTAGATGTAAGAGAAAAGCCAAAAAAAAATAATTAAGAAAGATGGAATAGGTTTGTATATGTGTAAGACAGAAGAGAGTTATTCCTTTTCAGTGAAATTTGAGGAGGAAAAATCTTTAAATATTTTGAGGTGCTGGAATGCAATAAATCTTTTAAAATCAATAAACCATAATATTGTTATAAAGGAAGGTCTAGCAAATGACCCTAGTGAAACAGAGAAAAACTTTTGTACTTACATTAGAGTCTCAGGAGACTATAAGGAATGTGGGGTGGGACCAGTTGGTTTGGCTCTGCATATTTGTGGACGTGGATGGGTGTGTGGAAGTGTGTGGTATGGAGATGTGTGTAGATATGTGTGGATGTGAGTGATGATGAACGTGTGTGGCTAGTGGATATGTATAGTATTTGGATGTGTGTGGGTGTGTGGAATTGTGCAATGTGTGGATGTGTAGTGTGTGTAGTGAATGAATGTGGGGGGCTGTAGTGTGTAGTTGTGGGTGGGTGGATGTGTGTGTTGTATGTAGTGAGGATGTGTGTGGTGTGGATGTGTGGTGTGTGTAGTTTGTGTGTTGTGTGATATGTGGTGTGTGTGTGTGTGGAAGGTGGAAGGTCGTGTCAGGTGGAGGCAGGGGTTGGGCCAGCTGTGTGTTCAGTGGAATACCCACACACACACACACACACACACACACACACACACACACAAATGCCCTTATGCAAACACCCAGGGCAAATTTGCCTTCTAATGGGTGAAAGACATCATTGTTTTGTTTTTTTAGAGTTTATGTTGCCTTAACTGATTTTCTGCGTTTAATTCAATATAAAATATTAGGACGTGAGGGGCCGTTATCAGATTTCTTTACATTGTAATACAAAACAATCCCTCCTGTTTGTTTATTCAGTGGCTGTGCTGATGGAAATAAAAGCGAGGAAAAGAGTGTGGAACTACTGCCATCTGGTGGAGAACATGGAAATTGCCATATGGTGCGGGTAGAAGGCCCCTAAAATGGGATATTGTTGATATTGAATGGTTTTTGTTTTGATTTGACTTGATTTGTTTTGCTGTCATTTTTGTTGCCGTTTGGTCCACTAGCCCTTCACCTCCTCCCAAAAGCCTAACTTATTAACTTCATATCCCCCTAACTGTTGAGACCCTGGTGCAATGAAGCTTAAGCATCTGGACTCTTGTTTTAGATTCCCCAGGTTCCAGTGATGACTTCATTGCCTGCAGATCATGTTGCCTGCAGCAAGTCATTGACTCTCCTCTTTCTTCAGGGTCCAAGGAATGGGGTATTTAATTCTGTGCTGGCAGAGCAAGCACCAGACTTCATGCTTATCACCCATGTGATTTTATTCCAGCTTGCTCCAGCCAGAGGCTTATCTATACAACATCCAGGAGAACAACTACACGACCTTGCTACAGGAAGACTGGGCTTCCCCCAAAGATGCAGGCCAAGCAGGGCAGCTCTGCAGCACTACACTATCAGGCACTGCCCTCTCCTATCGGTACAAACATCATCCTGCATGAAACAATCAATCAAGTTATGTCACTTCACTGCCACACGTCTTCCTGTTTGTGTTCCTGTTGATTCCATGTCAGATGATACATAACTCCTTAAAGGCACAGACTCTGCCTACCCTGCCCCCCAGCAGCCAATTCATGATATTAACCTTGCTGGACTATTATTTCAAAGTAGCAGACATTTTTCTCAGTCTAGAGAATAATTTGAAAGTGTATGGCTTTCAGAACTCCAAACCATCCAGAGGATGAAGGCAGAGGAATTAAACTCAAAAGTAATGACTGAACTCAAAACAATTGGATTCAGAAATGAAGAGTCCAGGAAAAGCAGAACATCCAACCTGTCACCTACCTGTCCTCTGGGCTATGACCCAGATGCTGTAGATTGGGGACAAAGAAACAGGAAGGACTGAGTAATCACTTAAAAACCATTTGTCTTTCAGTTTCTAAGAAGAAGCTGATAAGCACCTTTCCATGACAGAAAAAGTGTATTTTTTCCATCTTTGTTTTACTATTGGAAATTTTAAATAAGGATGTACATCAGAAAAAATGTTTCAAAAGTTGTCCTGAATTTTTTCTGCAGGACGTTTTCTTTTCTCTCTCTCTCTGTTTTCTCTCTCTCTCTCTCTCTCTCTCTCTCTCTCTCTCTCTCTCTCTCTCTCTCTCT